TGCAAAGTGAGCTGAATTGGAGAATTTTTCCAAATCAGCTATTTTGGCCTAGATTGACCACTTCTCCTTCCTTCTCCAAACTCTTCACCCTTCAGTGAAAAGACCTGTATGTGTTTGTTTACAGTTAACAATGCCATGCTTCTGAACTTTTCCAGGAAAAAGACATGGATAGCACCGTTTACTCATGAATTTTAGCAACACTTTGCCATGGCATTGAATCACATAGAGCTACCTGTGTTCTTGAATGACTATCAGGTCACAACAGGCAAACTCATATCACTTCTAAGAAGTATAACACAGGCATATATTTGCTGTTGCTGTTTGCTGTTGTGATGGAATCATAACAATTCTCCATACTGTAGGAGAACACACTTTATATGCCAGCCACAATGGGATCATTTGCAGAGAATGTTCCGCTCTAATACAGATCTGGGTTTTTCCACCCACAGGGATTTTGAATTCAGCAAACTATAAGGAATATTACATTATCTCACTGCAAAACAGTTCAATTCTATCAAAAAGGCTGTGTGGTTACACTTAGGACTCGGCTTTTGTTGACTTTATGCTTTAACATCTTCTTAACATCTTCTTCTGAATGGGCCTTCATAATAAATTTTACAAGAGTGGGATAGTTTATAGTAATAGAAATCTTTGGAAACATGATCATATTTTGCACTATAATATATATATTCTCTTTGCAGTAAGAAGGGATAGTTGTTGGCATACTAAATTGTGTAATATTGATTTTCTGGGATTAAACAGGGCCCTGCATTGTTGTAAGTGCTTTCAAAGCTGTATTTTGTGCTATGAGACTAAAGATTTACTTTATACAGCCAATGGTTATATATCTTATGATTTGTGTTTGTAGGTGGTAGTTTCCTTTATCTCTCACATGTGAGGCATCTTTAAATTATGAAACCCTCATGTTGTGGTGTTTATTGCCTCAAAATAAATATATCTGTTTCTGGAAAGTCCAAGAGTTTGTAAAAGTGCATATACAAACAAACAATATCTTAAAGACCAAGAAGCTATCAAAACATGTCTGAGATAAACTTCTGGAGAAGCATCACAGCACCATTAAATACATTATCAAGAAATGGAAAGAACATGTCACAACCTTAATTCTGCCTAGAGCAGGCTATCAGACATAATTTAGAGACTGGGTAAGAAAAACATTAGTCGGAGAGGCAAGCATGTGCTTGGTTCTTTGGTAACTCTGAAAGACCTGCAGAGATTTCCAGCTATATGGAACAGCTACAACTTCGATGCTCAAAAAAGGTAACATTAAAAACGATGAGAAGAAATCCATGCGTGCAAAAAACATTTAGGGGGTTATTCAGAAAGCTGCCGAAGGCAGCCGAGTGAATAACCAAGCCGAAGTGAAGTGAGCCGAACGACGTTCGCTTATTCACTCCGGATCAGTACAGCTGATGTTTGGCTGTGTCGAAGTGCAGAAGGACTTCGACTCAGCTGATCCAACATCTGAATCGGCTGAGCCGAACCTCTGGCAGCTCACTGACGTGCTTCAGGGGCAAGCCCCCTTCATCAGAATCATGAAACGCGTCAATCTTGGCTGACTGCGGACAGTGATCTGACCGGAGGCAACCGTGTTATATAGTCGGGGCGATACCATGTTGGGTTAACAGACTGTGTGGCCTCTTGTTTGTTGTTAAAGCGTGATGAAAACGTTTGCTTGTGAGTACATTTATCCCTTGTTATATTTATCTTAATAAACGATTTTACACACGGAGGTGGCGCTCTGTTCCCTTTTGTTTTCTAGTTTAGCTTGAGGTTTGAAGAGGCAAAAAGGAGAAGTGCATGTATCCTTTAAGCTAATCTAATTTTAATATACAGTATGGCTAAAAAACTTTGAAAAGCCTCTACAGTCTTGTTGACTGAACATCATTTTTTTATATATTTTATTCTGTGCAACAACAATTACAAAACATAATAAAGAAATCAATCAAAATTAATGGACGAGTTGTTCAGTTTAACAATCTTATATATCATGTCTTTTCATTTATTTAATTCACTCAAAGTCAGTTATCCGTTTATTGAACATTTCTATTGTTCATATTGATAATGTAATCCACAGCAGCACAATGCTATTACTCAGTTTAATTACATGGTTTCAACAGAAGCAAAAGCACTGTGTGATCATCTGAGATAATAAAGTCACATTAACCAAATTCCTAGAAAACTACATAGCAAAATTATATGCCAGGCTGCCTTTATTCATTAGTTCACTTTCAGATAATTTTTGTAAAAGATCCTCTTGCCAAAAATACACTATGTAAAATTTGAATTGCAGCTACCATATTCTAAAGCCTTCCAGAGTGGTCATACATGGACTGATCTTTTGCAGGTAAGTTGCTGGTTGGACCTTCAGGACATCTCGGCATTAAATGCGAATGTACTTAACATTTGTGTCCTATTACATGCCAAAAAGGGAGCAAGACTATTTCTTTATTTGCTCTGTATCCAACCATCAACAGAGCTATATAACACTTTGTAGTGGCTCCAATAAGAGCAATGATGCAGTTAAGGACTGCCATTTACACTCATCGCCTATTTTCCTTGGCAAGATACTTGCCTATCTAAGATTATTAAAGACATTCAAAGAGCCTAACATTATCCATACACATTAGGTGGCAGAAGGATCTAAATGTCTAAGGATGTTTTTCCATGTAGATGCACATGCAATTAGGCTGATGTCTCCAATAGCATATTCTATTAGCATAATAGCATCTAATAGCATCTACTATTCACTATAGCCCGTACAGCTCCCGAAGTCGGCTGAGCGGCTCAGTCGATCCAAAGGCATATGCTTCGGCTCGACTGAGCCGAGGTGAAAGCCGAAGCTGGCCGAACGGCCGGTCATTGGCCAGCCGACAGCCTGCTACTGGCTGCTGGGCGGCTGGCTCCAGCCACTTGCACAGACAGATCAGCGTCCCTGGTTACCAGGCAACCAGGGACGCTGACACCAGACAGCCCAACTCTCCCAGATACTCCCGGAGTCTCCCGCTATTAGATAGTGGCTCCCGGCCGCCCGGGAGAGAAACACTTTCTCCGGGAAAGTTTTACTCTGCTCGACTGTTCCCTGCTCTGTTTTTTTTTCTTCTGACATTGGAGCCGTTGGCTGCCGTCAGAATAAAAAAAAATAAAAAAAATCACCATAGGATTGCATAGTTAGATTCCTATTGGCTATTTCAATTTGCAATAGCCAATAGCAAACTAGCTATTGCACCCGCCCACTGCTGCTGTAAATCAGCAGAGGGGACCTGAAGTTCTCCATCAGGTCCCCTCTAGTGATTGACAGCAGCAGAGGGCGGGTGCAATAGCTAAATGTATGGCTGATATCAGCCGATATACGGCTGGAATCAGCTGTACACGCCTGAAGTGAATAGCCAAACAAGCTCACTTCACATCGGGTCATTTATTCACTCGGCTGCCTACGCCAGCTGAGTGAATAGACCCCTTAGATATGGTATTGCAGGACTGAATAAATGTCAGTGAGAATACCTCAGCACTGAATACTGAAAAATGGCCTGGACAGGAAGGGGGTTTAACACCCTGGTCTTCAAGTGGTTAAAGTGTATTTCCACGTTTACAACCACATTGGAATAACACCTATTTTATATGTGTTACATGTTTCTCATTCACATAGCATTACTTTTTTTCTTTAATTGCTGCTTGCACAATACATCTGTGCACTATTCTGAAAGAAAAGTTGCCCTCTGTACTGTGTTGTGCTTTGGAATGCCAGAGGGGCTGGGCAGGGTAATGTTAACATAACTAAACTGTCTATATTGTGCTGGTAGATCTCATTATCAGTTGTAAAGGAGATGTGAACGCTGGCTGTCCTAGGGTTTAAGGTCTAGAAGCATTATATGTTAATGAGAGGAAGCTCAGTTTGTCCCTAATGTTTCTATGGGGACATCCAGAGTTTCCAGTCGCTCGAAAATTGAGAGAGAAGCTTGCAAAGACCTGCTACACAGGCACATCTAAAAGGTAAGAAATATTTCTTGAAAAATTATTTTAGACTTGCTGTATGAATGGGAACACATAATAAACATATTGGGGGAAATATATCAAAACTGGAGCAGGCAGAATCTGGAGCAGTTGCCCATGGCAACCAATCAGCATCTCTCTTCAATTTGCTCAGGTAAGATTTGAAAACGAGACAGAGCCGCTGATTGGTTGCAGTGCAAATCTGATCCAGATTTAGTCTGCTCCAGTTTTAATAAATTCCCCACATAGTGGGGTTTTCCCAAACTTGACTGCGAAGTGGTAATATACTAAAAATAAACTCATATGGGTACATGGAGGCCAGGCAGAATGGTCAAAGTATTAGACATGTGAGATTTGATTCATTCCGAATCAGAATTCGGATGAATTTTCCTAAATTTGGACATTTCCGAATCCCAATGCATCCAAATGTGTCCGAATCCGAATTTCGTTTTCCAAATTTTCGGATCCCGTCCAAATTTTGTTCAAAAACTAAAGTGAATTGAATATGTGACTTTTCTGGCCAATCAGATGTGTTTCTTGGTTTAGTGCATCCGAATTGGTCTGAGCACAAATTTTCGTTACGGCAACATGGGAGCCATCTGATTGGCCAGAAAAGTCACATGCTGTAACGAAAATTTGTGTTCAGTATATACATATAATAGTAAAGCTGAGGCTCCTAGACCTGATTGGCATTTGGGATCCGAATTTCCGAATGCAATTCGGAAATTTGGACCCCGAATGCAATTTGTGTCTAGGAGCCTCAGCTTTAGTAATATATGTGTATGGCTCCAAGACCTGAACAGCATTCGGGAGCTCTTGAATGCAATTCAGAAATTCGGAACCCCAATGCAATTTGGGTCTGAGAGATTCAGCTTTAGTCATTCAATTCTATGGATACTAGTTTTATATGACTGATTTAAATACAGTAGATGTGCAAATCAGGTTGTAAGCTATGAATAAAACCAGTAAGAGATCAATCGTTGTATTACCTTGTTTGGATGTGAAAGTTGTTTGTGGTACCCGTGTGTTCATAATCGTGGACAGCAGCAGCAAAAATCATAGCAAATATTTCCAGTTCTGTTAGCCAGTGCTAGAAAAATGAAAGAACGGTGTAATTTATCATGAAGGAAATCAGTTACTATCCCTCTGTGCTTTTTTTTTCTCTACCTTACTATACATGAGATTTAAAATGTCACTTACATACATTAAACTACGTAAGAAGTGCAACATAACTCAGAATAGCAACTACTGTATATCAATTGATCTAAATGTAATAAACTTGCTTCCTTTTTTAATTAGCATGGATGAAAGCAAAAATGATATTTATGCTGCAGTCTGTCACTGGCATTAACAGAGCAGTCTTCCTTTTACTAAACCCCCCTTGTGAAATTGTTTTATTCTGTTCATTTTGAGATAAAATCACTGCAGCAGTGTCACCATGTGGACATGTCTACCCTGAATGATGTAGTCATTCAGTGGCAGTGCATGTGCACTGCAGCAGTGTCGCCTAAATAAGTTTTAGTTGGACTAAAGTTTAGTTGAACTTTAGTTTCCAGAGTAACTGAACTCTGGAAACTATTGGCAAAAATGGCAGACAGATGGAAAAGGACTAGTCATCAATATTGCATGTAATCTCGCAGCTAATCTTTCCCCCACTATTAACTTACCATGCCTTGTTCTGCACCTTGTCGCTACAGGGAGATAGTCCTCTTGGTAGACGTGCAGGGCTTTGCTTCCTAATGTCAAAGCTTCCAATATGAATACCAGTGAACAGAAGTAACATCCCTAAATTTGCATCTGAATCTTCTAAGGCTAGCAGTCAGAAGCAGCAGTGCCTTAGATCTCACACTGCAGATATACACCTATGAGGATGTAGGCACACTCAAATACTAGGAAATGTGCTGTTATTTTTCAGATGGAATTCCAGACAAAAGGTATCTTTTTAGGCTACTGCTTAGGCCAAACTACTACTATATGAACCTATAACAACAAATCTTTACTTTCTAAGTTCACATTTCTACCTTTGCAGACGTATTTTTTTTAAATAACATGCCAGCAATGTACAACGAGTGTACATGAAGCAGGGATATGCAGTTGCTGTATATGAGCACAGAACTTAAGTATTTTGTTAGCTTTTTCTCTCAATAGCCTCATGGTATTGGTTGCCTCTGTGGTTCACAAGCAATCTCTGTATATTACAACTGAGCTCTATCTGAGCTCTCCAACCCCCATTAATTAGTATCCATAGTGGCAACCCCCCTGGACAGTGTGTTGTGTGCAAAGGCAGAGCTGGTGTTTAGTGATCATGTTACGCAGAATCACAGGGAGGGGGGCAGCTTTTAACAGCTTGCTTTACAATCCAACCCCTGTCCATGTGTAAATGTTAGCACCAACATTTACCTGTGGTTACCATAACAATGCTAACATTTACAGCCCTCAACTCAACTGTGTCCTATTTTTTGTGCTGCTGAACACAGCACAACATGTCACTGTCCGAAGCAGCTGTCTGCATAGGCCCAATGCGAAATGCATACAAACGTAGACACATGATGCATATTTATGGGGAATTTTGAATGACCGTGTGAATGTGCCCTAATAGTGGAGAAAAAAATAGATAAAAAATGGATAAAGGCATGTGAAAAAAAAGGAATCCATGCACTGAATACTAATTGCAGTCACCAGCGACATACCGTTATCAGAATAGAATATTTTTTGTGTTACTGGACTTTTAATGTTTATCCTAAAGAAGAACTACAGGCAAAAGTGTGGCTACCCCTGCACTGCAACACTGCAAGGGTAAACACCCTTCTTTGTTTAGGTGCTAAAAAAAGTTATATTCACCCGAACCGCTAAACAAGCTGCTTGCTCCTCTGGTCTTAGAAGCCTCTTTCCTCCTACATTGCAGCATTGGAATGTTTATCAGCATCCTAACATCTATACACTGTGTATAGAATGTGAGGATTTATGGAACCTAAACCGCTGCAGCGGAGGGAGAAAGAGGCTCAGACCAGTCTGAGAGCAAGCTGGCTCGGAGGATCAGGTAAATATAACTTTTTTTTAATCAGACAAAAACGAACAGATAGCCCCACTGCAAGGGTTAATAAAAATTCTGCCTGGAGTTCTGCTTGAAACCGGAACACAATATCCAAAACTGTAAAACAAGTAGGGGCAATGTTAAGTCCGATTTAAAGTTACCGTATTTTTCCGTGTATAAGACGCTACTTTTTCATAAAAATGTTTACCTAAAAATAGAGGGGCGTCTTATACACGGGGGCTGAGAGGCGAACCGCGGTTGCGAAACTGCCGAAAGTGCAGATACCACTGCAAACTAGCCTCACGAGTGAAACTTCGGATTGCAGAGACAAGATAAGTTTTCCTCCAATCATAAATCTTTTGTACCTGACGTCAGCTGTTGCTGGGGAGAGTGTAGGAAAACCGTTATCTTGACTCTGTAATCCGCTCTCCCCAGCAACAGCTGACGTCAGGTACAATAGATTTATGATTGGAGGAAAACTGTTATCTTATCTCTGTAATCCGATCATAAATCTTCTCCTAGATCAAGTGTCAGGAAACTGGACGCAGTGCTATAATTATCCTGTATAAATATAGATGTGATAATCATTCAGTCAAATTTTCCATTTTGAACAGACATTGATTGGCACGGGAGTTGCCTTCACGTCTACACAGGGCTCTTATTTCTTCTAGCCTAACATGCCCTAATAATGGCATGTCTTAAAGGTCAATTAATATGATAAATTATGTTTTTAATTTAAATTGGGAACTGACTAGATCCAAATAGCTGGTAAGGTTGAGTGCTGGAGTGTTGTATTTTGTGTACTGATTTATTTAAAGCGTTGATAATGTTCACACAACAAATAGTGTAAATATTTACTTTAATTATCCTGTTCCGGTTTACCTCTTTCATCTGTACCTGACTGGATAACTGAAGTAAACACAATTTATTGAGTGAAGATTCTTACCTGCTTTAGTAAATCAGCCCTAAAATATATAAAACAAATTTTCCTTATTACTATGAATATTCTTCTGGTTGAACCCATAACTGCATAATAAACTATTAATCATAAAATCACTATATGTAACATCACATAAATTGAAAATGTGCTAAATGCTCACTTACACTTGTTGTTTTGTAGATTATTTATGTATTTAAGAACGCCCTTAAAAGCATTTACAAATCATTTTGCAGATCTGTCATTTGGGTTCACTGGCATTTCAGGATGTTTAATTAATTAGTGTCAACTTCTGAGTTTATTTTTATTAACAGCCTGGAATCTGTCTATTTAATTTAAAAAAAAACCTGTATACTGTATAAAAAATATTCTAGTGTTTACGGTAATATTTATCTGTAAATGTAGAATTGTGTGACTTATTGCTACTATGTTTTCAGTTTTGCTATAAAAAAAGCTGACAATCATACTGTGACATCTGTACAAAATTCAAGGTAGATACTCTTACTGATTGCTCTGTTTTCTGTATAATGTTGTTATTATTATTGTCATACACAGTGGCACACTTTGGACATCACATTTATAGATGTTAGAAATACTTCCATCGATACCCCAATTTCTGCCTGCCCCTATCACCGCTGGTGCCTGACCACAAATTCCAGTATAATACTAAACCCCTAAATCTAAAAGAGCATATATGAAGAACTCAACTGCGTCTTCTTCCTGCAGTTGATGTAGATGCTTTCTGCATGTTTCTGTTGGACATATTTGCTAACACAAGAACTGTGACTGTAATTGATTGTCTAGTCTTTAAAGTGACACTAAATTCAGGAGTTAAATCTTAGAAATGCATTCAAGGACCCTAACTATTAACAAAAATTGAGCTTTATTTGTGTATCACTCAGTTGTAGATCCTCAAATCATCTCTGAATTGGTGCTGATACTGTCCTTCCTTCTGTAGGGTGGCTACTTTTGTTCCCCATGGTGTCTGTGTGTGTTGTAATGTAACCACCACTACAAGTTTCCCATGATGGACTATAATCTCAATACAAATTAGTAAACTAAACTTGAAATTGTAATCCATCATGGGAGCAAGCTTGGAGCGGTTTGACATGGAAGACTACATCTTCGAAACGCGTTGCCACATTACCACAACAACAGGAACTTCCGTCCCGCATCTGGGACGCCTCTTCGGGCAGACCGAAACTTGCGGCGCCTGCGCCGGTCTCCCTACAAGCGAGTGAATACTTCCGCCCACACTTCGGACACCGACACCACCACTTCAAAGAAGGAACCCAATCAGCATCCCCCATCCATTAACGGACCGGACACCCCCGGCACCAGCAGAGAAGAACGCCACCTCTCCAATCCCGCGCCGCTGCCCACCAGCACACTGACAAGGTAAGCAAGCCGTGACACTCCAAACATCACGGAAGAAGCCACAAGACTACCTCCAATCAACCCTCCCCTGCAGAGATCCCGACGTCAATGACAGCCCATCCATGAAAACCTCATGGTGAGTTACTGCACTCTTTACACATGGTATTATCACCCGATTTTCAACTGTTACCTATTTCTCTCTTACTCCTTTGACACCTTACGCAGGATTTTGTTACTTACATCCTGCATTCTTCAAGCCTGGCCTCAACAACCCTTAAACTCTTTTCACCACTGGTAGTAGCGCTTTAGACCTTGTTTTGTTTTGGAGTGGTGACTACTTTACAACACACAGGTACAATGGGGAGCAAAAGTAGCCACCCTCCAGAAGGAAGGACAGTGTCAGCACAAATTCAGAGATGATTTGAAGAACTACAGCCGAGTGATACACAAATAAGCTACATGTTAATAGTTAAGGTACTTAAATGCATTTTTAAGATTAGACTCCTGAGTTTAGTGTCACTTTAAATGGGCAATTCCTCCCTGGGTAAACTTCCATTATAAATTCTAGTTTAGCATTTTTTTAAATCCTTGCCCACTGCTTTTTACAACCAGTGAGGGTTGTGATGTAAATAATGTAGTACAAGCAGTTTCCTAAAAAAACAAATTTTACTGGTACATCATCTGCGAAAAGCACTGTAGCTGCTACTGATTTAATCAGCTCATCAATCTTGCATTTGCTTCCTTACCTCTGTACAAGGTTCAGAATTTTTTTTATTACTGAAAAAAGTAATAAAATTACTAATTTACTCTTGTTTGGGACAGTGCCATGGCATGACATTTTGAGGTCCTGAGTCTCAGTTTTTATTGCATGGTCAACTGATATTTTTGTGCCCAATGCAAAAGCTTCCACATTCAGCTGGAAATTCTATAACTAACAAATGTTATTGTATCCATGAGTTTTGGGGTGAGGGAATTTACTAACACAGAGCAAAGAGTAATAGTGTGTCACTGCCAATCAAAATGATTCTGAAATTATCATTCAACACACTAGCTTCTTTAGGATGCTAAAAACTGATATCTGAATGTTTGAATTTTCATTGTTTTAAGCTCAATATGTTCTGTGGTATTTATGTCATGTTTAGTTTAAAAAGGTTCACAGTATACCAGTCTGTTTTATTTACACCAACCAAAAAAAGCATAAACTAATAATTTGTATTTTGAATATTTTAAATCTGAAATTCATGAATTATGTCCACCCACATCTTGGTATTCCTTAGCTTATGAAGCTATTATGCAGTATGGTTTTGTTAGGATTGATTGCTGCTATGTTATCCTCAATTTTTCCAGGTTCACAATAAATATAATACAAATATACTAAACTTACACAAATAATTTCCCCCAAAGGCAGCATAAATACATAACTAACATTATTTTTTCCATAAGATAATACAGTAGTCCCTTCAGCAGTATTGTTGGCTAAGATTTAATTTAGAGTTTACAGAGACTACTGCCTAAAAATGCTTCAGATTTAAAGTCAGGAGGTTAGAGCCAAAGTTAGTGTTACTGAGGCTTGTCAAAGCAACTGCACACACCATCTGTTTATTATGTAGTCAGTTAAACAGGCTTGAGATTCTCATTAAAGTAATTTTATTTTTCATTTGTAGGCTTGATAATGCCAACTCTCTACTGTAAGTTCTTAGAGCAGCATGGTGTTAAACTGATAATTGATTACAACTTAATTTAAAAAGTTGGAGGGAATGTATATAGTTTAAAAAAGGCAAACGAGAGATAAATGTTTGCTTAGGAAATGTATAATTAATATAATTGCATCTAGTCCCTGAAAAACACATGTGCTGTCAAACTAATTCCACTGAATAAAACAAAGGTTCTGTCATGACTCTGTGAATCAGAAAAAAATGGCAAATGTGCAAAATGCTGAAGAATTAAATAAAAGCCACACTAATGGTTTTCACTAAATAGGATAATGTGCCTGCTGTGGTGATATGACTAATCTGTGGGATCTTGTCTTGCTAACTCCAAAGTCCTCTGCAATTTTAGTCCCTGTCCTCTTCCACCCTTCCTTGTATGTTAGTGGGAGGCTTGTACAGTTGTGCAAGATACACACCTACTATAGGAAGAGGAATCTAAAGGACTGCCGCAACTAGAAAAGCACATTACTTTAAAATCATGGATTAGAGAAATTAGGTCACAAGAGCGGGTCTTGTCCTATAATCATGTCTTCTCTTGACTAAAACCATCATGTAAAGGCATGTTCACATGGGCCCTGTATGTGTGAGAACATAATTGTCAGCAGTTTGATTGCTTTTCTGGCAGGGGAGCCCACTGGGGGAAGAACACAATCAACAGGGCAGACATGGGCAGAATGTACAATTCTCCCACCTGTCATTTAGGGGGGCTTGGCAAGGATCACATAAATCTCCTAGGTACCACATTCTGCCACACATCTCAGCAGGTTCTAATGTTGCTGTAAAGTGCTTTAGAGTTACATTAACGGCTCTAAGACATTCTTATTGGATAGCAGTCTCAGGGCATGGTGTAGTTGAGATTTAAATAAGTCTTGTAGTTAATGAAGATAAAGTTGCTAGGTTTGATAAATTAGCCATGGCCTCCTTCCTTAGCCTTCCCACTCCAAATGTAAAGAAAGTTTACACAAGTTGTCCGATTCCATCTGTAAATAGGGTCACATTGAATTAGCATCTTTGTAGAAAGATTTGATGTCCATACCCCAGCGATTCAACTCTTTTCTGCCTGATGGGCTTCTAATATTGTTCCTGTGTCTCTTTCTACATAAATAAAAAGAATATCTTGCTGCACTCCTAACCGCAGGAAACCAACGACTGGGTGGGTGCTTGTAGTGACCACGGTAGGCACCGCGTATAACACAGAACAAGGAAATAATGTCACCAGCACACCATTGTTGTAAATCAATGATCCATTTTACAACAATGGTGTGCTGGTGACATTATTTCCTTGTTCTTTCTACATAAATCTACAACTGCTGCTACTATCCCTGTACCCTATGTCATTCAATAATCTTTCGTCTACCCATTCCGTTCTTATAATGCTATCTATAGATACTAAATGCAGTGTTAGTGATAATGTTATGATAAAAACACACATGTAGTTTCTGGAAGTACTCATCTCTGTTAAGTGCCTATACTACTATTGTAGGATTAGCTATATTGTACAACTATTTTAGGATCAGCTGGAGGCCAAAGCAACAGGTTCACTTGACTGCCACGCTTCCCAGCTACACATATTTACTTTTTTTCCTGCCCTGCCTCTCTGTTTCATTGCCAGGAGTGAAGGGGAGAAAACCTGACTCCAAATTCGACTCAGAACTTACAAAGTGCAGACGACCCTCTCTTCCCGGCCCCCGTGTGACTTTTCTGGGTGCTTGAGTGTCCATTCACCAAGTACCACCAATAACACAGTGGAGGAAGGGGTATAAGTCCCATGCTCCCCAAGCAATAGGTGGTAGGTATTTCTCTTCACTCTTGGTGGCTTAAACAAAGTGTTAGGGAAGCAAGGGCAACTATGTAAAGCTGTTGTGTGTGGTCAAAGCACATATTTAGTTTAAGGCACCTACACTTTAGATTGAAGTTGGCTATGCATGCAGAGTCTGGTATGCACATTTTCATCAAATGTGCATGTTGGCCAGGAAATTCCATCCCCCTCTTTGTCAGCCAAGAGCACCAGCCAGACTTGGTCAGGACGTCATATGAAGGGTGCATTGACTTCAAAACACTAGCATATTTTCCTTGTTCTGATGTATTACTTTATACTGTTTATGAACATGTACTGTAATTGAACGTATACTGACACAATTTAACAAGAGTAATAAATGGGGAACATCATCACTAGCACTCGTCTGGGCTAGAAATCAGGGCAATTCTACAATATCTTGTTTTCATGTAAGCATTTAGTTGCTTTTGTAGTAGGTTTTATCACCACTTTGTGAAAAGTCCTAAAGCAAATCTTGATGCACGCTCAAAATGCATTTTGGTTATTCTAATTACAGTTGTAAGTTCCTACTTGTAAGTTTTCTCCTTAGTTTGTGAGATGCCTATACTGTAAGGCCATTGTATGAAGTTACCTCATTCTTTTTCAGATGTCACAATCCAAAATGCCCAATGGAAAACAAATGTGTACTTACCGCTAAACCTGACTTAAAGAGAAAGTAATGAACAGTTTGTGTAACATCTGCTGCATGAATCAAATTGTGATATGGATTTTTATGTTTGGTGTAGCCAACTTCCAGTGCCTCCACAAAGGATACAAGTGCAGAGATAGGTATCTAAAACAGAAAAAACTATGATTATCTTGTTTTACACATGCAACACCATCAGAAAAAGAAAATGGCCAACAATACAGCAATTAGAACATTTAAACTCCAGACAATAAATTAGGATATGCTGTAAGAAAGAGACAATGAAGCTAGTATGTATGACATATGGTACATGGAAGAGGAGATTGAAAACATTACCATATCTTGTTGAATTACACATCTCTTTTGTTTCATAATCACACCCTGTCACTGTTGAGGTGCTTATAAGAAAGCAGTGGAAAGATCATTTATGCTTCAGGTAGCATAACTAAATATTTTTTAGGGGAACAAACATCCAGAGAAAAGTATAAAAGCTCATTTTGTTAGTGTCCAGGTGCTAAAGGAACATAAGCAAAGAGAATACACATCGAATAATCATGTGAAAATTTTATTTTTGATCCATCTATGAAATAATTATTGAAACATGACAAACCTAGAGTAAACCCAATATAAAATTAGCAATTTACATGAATGAATAGGACACATGCCAGATATACCAAATAACATTATTATTTTATATTTTATTTTAACAAAATACCCTTTTCTCATCTACTTATAAGCTCCCTTGTGTAACTTTAAGCCTAGATAGCAAAGATTATATGGTCTCAAGTTAGCAGAAGTTTCGAGGGCATTACATATCATTAGTGATTGCAATGAGTTCATGTTTTCATTCAGAAAGACCCTGTCTTGTAGACTTACAGTGGGATAAAATGATCAGCAAAGCATAACCAGGAAGTAGAACTAGAATATTGTATCGAACAAATATCTTCCACATGAGTATATAATTCCACATATGTATATGATTGCAAGCTACATATTAAGCCTGATTTCCTTAAAGAAGTTGGAAATCTTCACTAACAAAATGTGAATACAGTACTCACTTTAATTATTCAATCATGTGAAAAGTATCTCACATGATTGAGTATTCATAGTGAACAGGACTTTGCTTTTACCATGATTGGATAATTTAAGTGAATATTCACACCATTTTCAGGTAAGATTTAAAATGTCTTTAGTAAATCAACTCAGTTGAGTCAGGGTATTTAAAACATTATCATACAACACTAATAATAAAAAGACTACAGTTATCTTTCAACATAATTTGTCTTCTATTTGGAGGAAAATCAGTTTATAATATGTTAACTTGTGTAGGGAATTACATTTGGACAGCAATGCCATATGAACTTTCACATCAGGGTTCTCACACTTGAAGTCAATAGAGTTTTCAAATAATTCCATAAAATAATTTTTTGTTTATGTCACCTAAATATCTTCTGTAACTGTTGTCTGACCATTTGCTATATTGTTGTCAGGTCAATAGGAGTGTCAAACCAATGTCTTAAGAGTCCAACGTCTTATATTCATTGATTTCCTTTTACTCCTTTAGTTCAATAAATGCAGTACAGTTCATTCAAGAGCACCTCGAGTCCATTTGAATTCCCTTATCTTCACTAAGATATGTCCCCTCCACTCATCATCTTCTTCTCTATTGATATCACTGATCATTGATATCACTGTATTTTCACACATTGCTATACACAGCTTATATGGTACAGCTTACATGACACAGCCTTACATAGGAATGTGTCCTTTCAATTTCCATTTACAACAGTGGTATCAATTATATCCATGAAACAAAATTGGAGATGGAAGTGCCACTACCTAGCGCAATGACTGTGGTGGGAACAAGGTTGGTTTTAAAGTAATTCACTCACCTGTGGCTGGGTGAGCACTTGCTAGCTAGCTGCACACCAGCTTGAAAAAGAAGATTTAATCTTTGAAACGCATTGCCGCTAGCTTACCTGCTCCTACTGGACTCATTTCAGTGTTCCAAACACTCGCTCTGTGTGGGCAACCCTTCCCGCACACCGCGCTCCACCTTCCACTCCACTGCAGCATCGAACCACCATCTATGGCTCACACCACAATACCCATCAACCCGCCTCAGAAGCAGGCTCCCGGCAGACACAGCCCCACTGTACTGCGGCGGGGAAGCCCCCAGCTCAAGTTCACCCCCGCTCCTATGGGACGCAAACCCTCTTCACAGACGGCACGACCTTAGCAGCCATGTACTGTGGCACAGCGGCAGCTCCTCTGCCCATCTGCCCACCTTCCGGCACCACATCGTTCAACACCAAAGACGATCCACATCCGGCTCAGGCAGAACGACCACACGAGCCGACTGACCAACACCAGGGACTTCCGCCCTACAGCCTCCAGCTTCTGTCACCAGAATCACCTGCCAGGACTAATGTGTTAGCAGCCACCAGCCAGAGGATCACCCCTTGACCATCCGGGCACAACGTTGACCGCACCTTCGTCGTTGACTTCCAGCCTCCACTTACTCAACAGTGAGTTTCAGAAATTAATTCCTCCCTTGCTCACCCTTCTACCTCACCTCCTTGCTGTTCTACCCTTGTGTTTCCATCTGCTCCACCCGGGTTCATCACAAAACCACCCAGCAAGAAAGGATCCGATCCCACCGCTCCCCACCATCCCTCTACTGCACTTCGATTTATCAAAGCAAGCGCTCACCCAGCCACAGGTGAGTGATTACTTTAACACCAACCTTGTTCCTACCACAGTCATTGCGCAAGTTAGTGGCACTTCCATCTCCAATTTTGTTTCTTGCAACACACACGTTGGACACCCCGGCCCGAACATAATGGAAGCGGCACACCAACACAAGATCCCCCAAAAAACTTTCCCGAATTGCTCACGTTTTCATTCACAACCGTTGTGCCTGCCCAACACCTCCGGTTGTCCCCCCCCGGATGAGCGCTGTACATGGGGCAACTCTCTCAATTTTTCCTCAATTATATCCATGTGGCTGGACTGTATACAGTTGAACTTTAGCTGAAGCACATTAAATTGCAATTTCTGCAACAGTTATTTTGCCAGTATTCACTAGCCCCTGTCTTAAAAGCAAGGGAGCAGTGCATTTAATTGACTATATGTCTGCACATGTAAAAATTCAACCTGTGCGTTTTTAAAATGGTTTTGGTTTGGTCTAAGTCATACTGTGTTTGGCTATAATAATTGGTTCATTTTTTCATATCCTTTTTAAAAATGTTTCCAAGATGAACTGTACTATGGCACGATTGATTGACCCATAGGAGAAGTTTTTAACTTTTAATATACAACTAAGTTCATGGATAATCCCCATTATTTTTTATAGTCATTCTAAAGCTATTCTTTTATCAACTTTTTTCATATGTGTAACTTTTAATTAGCATTTTGCTTATTGTTAATGTTATATGTGTCATTTTTAACCTTTGTAGCCCTGATGAAGGGGGATAATTCTTTGCCCTGAAATGCATTGGGGGGGTCTTTGTATTTTGCTGCCATCATTAATTACTTTGGATTCCCAAGACTTTGGTTTGATATTCCTATTGACCTGAATAAATGTGAATTGCTTAATTCAGGTTAAAACCCCTCTAACAAGGGACCCCTGTTTTGTGGAGAGCTTCTGAACCCAGGTCAACAGTCTAAATTATTGACTCGTTATTGTGCACCTTTTGAAAATTTGCATCCAGCTCTTCACACCCACCTGTTTTGGGGGTTTTGCTATATTGTCTGTTTAACCACAATCTAGAAAGGAAACCTGTAGAATTTTAATGATAGATAGACACATGCAGTTATATGCATTTAGGGTCACAAATGATAAGCTGTACCTGTAGCATTACTCAGTTCTCTACAACTGATTCCTGCCAGTGTATGCTGGCTCTAAACTTGCAACTAAGCTGCATGAATCCAGATTAGAATAGATAAAGGTATAAATGGCAGATAGCAAGCCCCAAATAATGAACAAACAGAGCAGTTGCATCAGGTGTAGTGCATGCATGTAGTGTAAGGATTTCTATCCATTTTGTACATACACATTTGCATGTTTAGTCTCAATATGTTATGGCATACTATTCTTGTACATGTTCCTGTATGCTTTTGCATCTATATACTTGGAAATTGAACGAGAGAAACCTTGTTGTCAATAAACAGGAATAGACTGCTGTTTCAGTTTGTTGTAGTCAAGAGATGCATGTTTAAAATTTTCCCCAATAAACAATATCTGAATAGTAGCAATAGAGCTACTTTTTAATCATTAAAATATTTTTACCTTTTTTTCTTGTAATTCAGAAATACAAGTATTTTTATAGTACTATGTTTATTATATTTTAGTGCTCCAAAACCTCCTGGGAAATGTTTTGCTGAAGATTTGCTGTAGTTCATAAGAATAAAAGTGTCATGCGCAAGCATGCTTTAACATTTGTGTATGTACAGTGTTAGGGCTCGTTCGCAATATAACAGGTGATATTTTTAACTTAAACTGTGATGTGCTATGCTCCACTGCAATGCATTTTAATGTGCATTGCGGTGTGTTTTGTTAGCCTTGTTTAAATTTATTGTTTGACTGTCTTCAGAACTTACTGTGTGAAAATGCAACATTCAATGCAAATAGGTCATAACAGTATATTGCATATTGGTGTGAAAAAAATAAAAAGCACACAGACAGTGAAGGCCTGGCTAGCGGGTCCTTTAAGCAGTGGGGGCATCACAGCCCAGGGCATTAGGAACACCATGCTGTAGAATCCTTTTACTCCCTCTGCTTTTGGCAGGGTGCCAGGAGACAGGAGGAAGCAGCACTATGCTTGATCGCATTGGTGGCAGGGAACTTAAGTCCCACCCCTGACCTATGAGAACCTATGCCAGGGAGAGAACAGACAGGAAGGTAACCTGCAGAGGAACTAGTGGGAGAAAGAAAGACTATGTGACTGTACAGGAAAAAGCTGGAAACTGCCGTGGAAAGAAGGGGAGCAGCAGCAGAGTGGCCAGAGAACTTGGTCAGTGACTGAGGAAATAAACTAGAAAGAGTGAGAAGGAAGACTACTTGGGCAGAAGAAACAGGAACAGCCTTGAGAGGAGAAACCCAGGGCATTGAAAGCTACCTCTAGTCTGGTTCCCAAAGACGTGTG